TGAGGCCGGCGTTGGGGTCCTTCGCGCGCCTCCTATTCACCCAAAACGTGATTTGTCGCGACCGTAACACTACTCCATAGCAGCAAAAGGCCAACAAAACGATGACAATAATGGCCACCAAAAAGGCTATCAAAATCCAATTCAATAGATTCGCTGTCGAAGACTTCGGGCTGAGACCACACTCTTCATCAAACATGAAGAAGTCATCGACTATTGAAAGCGGACCATTGCATGGCTGTCCACATGAATCACATAATTAGTAATTTATAAAAATTTAAAGTAAATTTATTTTGTGAGACAAAAGTGTGGTTTACTTCGTTTCCAAAGACGGGACAAATGAAAAAGTTTTCCGATTTAAACATATAGAGCGAGGCGTCGTCGATAGGAGCGCCGGTCCTGATAAAGTTAGCCGAGTCTATGGGCCCCTGGATTCCCGAGAAGGAGGTCGGGATGTTTAGGTGACGCACTTCAGCCCATTCCCCGTTTTCGCATTTGATGGATGTGTAGAAGTTTCCTATCATTCAAATAAACAGTTTTTTGTTTATTATTAGTTGCGCTCAATTGGGAGATATTTTTCAATTTATGGCCAAACCTTGAAATATGACAAAAATGTCTTCGAAGAAACCAAACGCGTCGATAGGTTGGGACCAGTTCACAGACTTGGCGGCGTTCAGTACGTCCACATCGGCCACACTGTGCCTAACTGTCCACTTGTCGTCCTCATAGATGTTCACCGAAATAGTGTTGTTCTCGTCCTTTGAAAAGTAAAACAACAAAAAATATGTGAAAACTTTTTATCTCAAACTCTTATCGCGTTTCATATCAATTGCATTTTTAAATCAAAAGTTATGCCCATTTCGTGAACGCATTCATTGAGAGAGAAAATAATTTGTGTTAAAAAGCGATTGAAATCTGGTTTTAAATCGATTTCATAAGAAAAATAAACCTAATTTGCATTTTGTGTTTTCATAGAATAGTATTCATAAGTAAAAGTAAAAATAAATGATAAATGTATTCATTGAATGAATAAAAGGGACGACAAAATCGTTGCCAGAGATCATGAAAAACAAATACTAAACTCTTGTGTTCACCACTGAATGTAGTTTTTAATTCATATAATGTTTATTGTTTTTGAGGCCAATTTCTCGCCTTATCGTAAGAAATAATATATATATTTATTATGAATTAATACATATGTTATGCCTTTTGAGATCACTTGAGATCACTGGAGATCAGCTAAAGT